GACCAACGAGTCCGAGATCTCGAGTGCTACAGCTCTGGTCCAACGGCGAGGTGTTCCTTTAAACTGTGAGATTTTGTGAAACGCTGATAGAATATAAAATATAAAATATAACTGAACTCGAGGCTTTAATACGGTTCTCCACAAACTGATGGGTGACGTGACGATAGGTTCACACCTGGTTCAGACCTGTTGTTGCACTTTTGTTCACTTTGATCAGAAACTTCCAAAATGAAAATCAAGTTCTCGTAGAAGTCAGGTCCTTGATTCTTGTGGGCGAGAATATAACTTTTGTACACAATGTGGATCTTTTAGTTCTTCACATAAGATAACACATGATATCGATCTACTCTGAGGGCTCAATGTTTTATTACTTACTATACTATATAAAGGTTTTACAGAAGACTGTGATTATAAGCATCAGCTGTGTATCAACCTCAGTCTCTTCCCTGATTCCCTAATTCCTGGAGCATCCGAGCATGACGCCCTCCCATCCTCCTCCCTCCCTCCCTCCAGTGTCTGTGGATCAATTTACTGAATTCAAATTGTTTGTCTGACTTTATCTTTTCAGGATAGAGTTCACATCTGATTTTACCTCTCTATAATCAACCTCAGCAGACACACAGTGTGTTAGGAAGAACCTGGTAAGGTGACGTTTCTATTGAATAACCTCCCAGTAATAAAACCCTCAGTCCCCCCTCCCCCCCACATCTCCCCCGACTCCTCACCCGTACGGATAGACTGATTCCTCAAATGTTCTCTGGCGTTCATTTTGCGTGTTTCGCCACCTACACAGTTTCTCCTTCGCAGTTGGAAGTTGAGGGTGAAGCGATGGAGTTGCAATCTGAAGCTACACCGTTAGACGACAGTAAATCGTACAGACTCGTCCTTTAAATGGAAATATTCAAGTATAAGTAAAAGTACAAGTAAAAGTACTGATTGAAAATGTTGAACTGGTCCTTTAAAGTTTAATAGAACCAGTTTTATTATCTGGATCAATAACAGTGTGGGACAGAATCTTATTACTAGTAATAAGATTCATTTCTACAGTAACTAGTAGTGTAACTAATTACCAATAAATGTCAGTAATAATATTACACTCACCCCCCCGAAAAGTAATTAGTTACATTACTTTTGTTTTCTCCTCCTACTGATTTGAAATCCAACAATCAATCACATCATTGGATTCATTTTTATAATCTTGGAGTACTCCATTACTTTGATTTAACTAAACTGGATTTTAATCGTCTGCATTTTGTGGACAGTAGCAGAAAAGTAATCTAACTAGTAGAGTAACTAGTTACTGTTGGCAGGGAGTAATGAGTAAAGTAATTAAATTACTTTTGAAAAGAGTAATAAATGACTGATATTGAGCTGAAACAGTCTATCCACACTCATTAGTCCACCTGTCCTCCCTGTGATGCCTTCACTGACCTCCTCCTCCTCCTCAGTGATCCTTTAACTCTGATACTTTAATGGGTCACATCCATTTCCACGGTGACAGCCAGCTGTTACATCAGCAGTACGTTGGCGGACTCACTGAGGACGCTCCAGATCCAGTTATAATCCACTTCCAGTACAAACCAGTCCAGCCACAGTCTGAGAGATACTGGGAAGGGTCCGATGTGGGTCACGTGTTCTCAGAGGGGACGAGGCGTCTTTACAGGAAACACAAAAGATCCTATAGGAGCCTTCGTCGGGCTTTAAGAGGAAATACAAAGGACCCGTTCTCCGTCTCTGAAGACGCAGAGATAAAAACATCAGTGAGATAAAATAATAAAGGTTCTAGTAGAAACTCAGTGATTTAGTGTTCAGAGGATCTTTCAATATACAACATATAACTCATTTACATACTATATATAACTACATATAACTGTTCACTGTAAAACCAGATTAGTTCATTTAACTCAATATAATGTTTAAACTGATTACATCGAACATTTCAAGTAAAACCAACTTAATTTTGTAAGTTAAAAAAACATAATTGATCAAGTTAATTTTGTAAAAAAAATTTGTATTGTGAAAGTAAAAATTTATTAATCAGGATTTTTTCTGTAAATATTAAGTTAGTAACATTTAACATTACTATGAAAAAAGCTGCTTAATCAAGAATTTTATACAATTGAGTTTGTGTAAACAGTTTAGTGTGTATTTACTGATATTACTTGTAATATTCTGTATTTATTATATTAAGAAATGATCCAGTACCTGAGAGAATAAAATAAAAATGTTGATGAGACTCAGATCATTGACTTAAATCACTTAAAGTTTTTAAGTTTTAAATCAAACTCAAACCTTGAAATGAACAAAATATAATGTACCGACTTTAAATAATAATCTGTAATGGATATAATTTACTTCTTCTTTAGAAAAACTTTAATCTTTGAGTTTTGTAAACAAAAAAAATCCTCTAAAAATTCTCAATATTTTGACTTAATATCTCAAAATATTCACTATATGACACTAAATCAATATTTTAAGAAGCTTTCTCTTTATGACTTACAGTCTTTTTATTTTACCCTCACATTGGCAGAAAAGGTCTTCCGTACATTTCTTCCTCTGCCGCTCTCTGACTTACGTTTCGGTCCCAGCAGCTGAAATTGGCGCCACATATTTAAACGTTTCTGTCGGCTCTGATTTTAGGACGCAGCTGCCAGACTTCATATCAGCCTCTTACACACATTTCACAGCAGATTCGTTCATAATTACACTGATTCTTTTCCATCCAGTTGCAGGAAAACAACTTAAATAATAATATTAACATTGTTTTTACAGCATTCTCTGAAATAGAAATCACAAAGTGCTTCAGAGCCTTAAAACAAACAAACTGAACAGCAAATTCAGGTTTTAATCTGAGGAAATAAAGAATAAAACAGCAGTTTATTAATACTAAATGAATATTATTTTAACTATTTTAACTTTAAGAACAGTTTCTTCTTTTATTTATTATATTTTGCTGCTAATTGTTGCTGTTTTCTGCTTCTAATAATCCAAGAAGTTGTCTTGTTGCATGTGAGCGCCCTCTGGAGGACAGATACCGTCATTACACCTGGAAACATTTTGAGTTAACTGATTGATTTTGACTCCAGTGATGTTGTGACTGTCTATCGTGTGTCTATCTGATATAATGTGTTATTACCAGCTCTTTATAGGTTTATAGGTCATTTCTGAATTATTATCGGAGCAAAATGTGAATAAATCTGCACGTTAAACATTAAAATTTATTATTTTTGTTTAATAAAATCCAGATTCCTCAGTTTCATACTAACACAACCTCACATTTGAGGTTTGGAGATACAGAATGTGGCCACAGATATTTGGACAGCTGAGTGTTGGGTGAGTTAATTGTTGTGTTTAAAGGCCTTACAGTGCCCCCCCCCTCACAGCAGAATACCTGGAAACCTCCTGTCAGCTGATTAGAAGATAATTAGTGTTTGTATTGAGCCTCTAATGGAGTTTTAAAGGCGCTACAGACGACCCCCACAGGTGTTTCCAGTTATTCTGGCTGATTAGACCTCCGCCCTGGAGTTCATCTTTACTCTCCGGGATCAGTCAGACCTCCACAGACACTTTCTGCCTCGGCCTGCTTTGGTTCTGGTTCTGGTGTCACTGAGGACCGGCCGCTCGCTTCTTTTTACTTCATTTATTTATTCCAGCTTCTGTCCAGCTGTGCTGCTCACCTGCTAACCCTGCATGCTACCTGCTAACACCTCAGCTAACGGTGAGTGCCGTCACTCTGAAGCTCTGCACTGACTCACACACTGACAGGCCTTTTTCACAGCAGCATTTTTACATGAAATAGTAGGGTAAACGCAGGAGTTACTGATATTAATGAACAGGTTGCTGCTGCTGTGCATGTTGGCTCACTTTAAAGGCTCATTTGTTATTAAGATTACTTTCTTCAGTTCTGCCCTTATCCTGTTTATATCTTTAATAATAATCTAAACTTTAATTATAACTTTCATTCATTTTCTATACAGAAATGAATAAAATGCTAAGATACAGCCCTACTGTATATTTTGTTTTTAGGTTTTCTTACGGTGTGTTCCCACCAAACGCCTCGAGTAAATATACACAGTTTAATGTCTCTGCGGCGGTTTGAGCCCAAAACAAACGGATGTTTCTGTGATTTGAAGTCAATAAACGGATAAAAATGATGATGAAATAATGACTTTAAAAAAGTCTCAAGTCATACTTTGTTGACACAAAAAGCAAACAACTCTTAAAATGCTTGTTTTCTGAATGGAGTTTGGTTGATGCTAACTAGAGCTGCAAAATATAGTAAAAAACTCTGTTTACGATACGAGTTACGATTAGACTGATGTTTTCTTACATCTGCAGAACCTCAGTGCTTCATTATAATGCTGCAGTTTACCTTCATCTAAACATTGCAGCTTCTTTCAGTTTCTATAAAATCGCAATTAATTGTGCAAATTAACATCTATTTGCGTCTTAGCATTGTTTTTGTGTGTAATTTACTTTGGTGGGAACAAACTGTTTCACTCCTTAAATCAACAAGGTGTCAGGAACCAGCAGCGGTGGAAAGAGTCACCGATACGAGTCAGAAATCGGTTTTAATGTTATTTATTTATCAGTACACGGACTCAAGGTCAACGCCAGGGTCTGTGCTAACTGAAGTCTGGAAGACACTCGGATGCTTTAAGAAGTTAAGTTGGATAAAGTCTGTCGGACAGATGTTCCTCTGACCAAGATATTAAACACTTTCCCGCCACAACTGAGCTCCGTTAAAACCGGTTTCTGACTCGTGTCTGTGAGTCTTTACAGCCCGATCCTTGTATCCATCGTAGGAAATGATTCACACTCTCAGGTTGTTGAACAGATGCTTCAGAGAGACGTTTCCAAGCTGACGTTTGTCTTTGTGTTTTTTCCTCAGAGCGCCTGAATGAGACGTCGAACACGCCTCGGCTTCCGTAGTCGCCTCCGTTTTCTTTCTGAGGACGACGCTGAAGAACGAATCCACTGATTCTCGACTATGCAGTTTGTTTTTATTTCACCTTTTCTGTCGTCGGAGCTGCTTGTGAATAGCAAAGAAATGTCTTTACACCAAAGTGCCTTCAGGAATCTGTCGTTTCTACAGTCTGATTGTGTGTTGAGGATTTTAAAAGCGAAGGGAGAGATTTCAGCCTCGAGCGGGTCGAGTTGCATCGACAGGAAGTGTGACGTTAGCGTTAGCGTTGAAGCGCGGCGAGGAGATCGTGTGACTTTCTTTTTTTTTTTTTTTTTGTTAAAATGATTAAACTGTGATTAAATCCAAATGAATTTCAGCCTGAGTTTAGTCTAGTCTGCGAGTTAAAACAGTAATCTGCTGATCTCTCACTGCTGTTCTTACACGAACATATTTTAGGTGTAAAAGTCGAAACCACAGAAGTTTAAAACGTCTTCGTGTGTTTTTGAGCTTTTTGAGTTCTTCTGTGTTTGGTTTTAATGTTAAATGCAATAAACGTGTGAAACCGTACCGATGTCGTTAATTGTGTTTGTATATTCTGGATTATTAAAGTTGACGTGTTTACGATGCAGTTTATTTTGTTTTCAGCCTCACACAGTTCGACAGCCTACGGAAAGCCGGAAGGCACAATTCTCATCCCAGTTTTTATCATTATTATTTATTTATTCATATGATTGTTTAAATACTGTGAAGTTTAGTGTAGTTAAATCAACATTTATAAATTATTTATTTGTTACTAAACTAAACTAAAATCAGAACGAGGTTCAGGGAAACTGAGACGAATTTTGAGCCTTTTGGCTTTCCGTACATTTTACTACAGTGGTTGTTTCCAGTTTTACTTCAGAATAAAAGAATATAAATATAAATAATTCATAAATGAGGCGAATCAGTTTAATGTAAAATAATAAAAGTAATAAAATGTTCCATTTGTCTAAAAGAGAAACTGTTTCAGACAGAAACAGAAACAATTACATCGATATTGTCTCTATAAATATAAACAGTCAGAAATCATAAATCAGAAGCAACAAGTTACATTAAATAACAATAATAATAATAATAATAATGTTAAATGTTCATTTTCAGGTTTGTTTGTTTTTAGCTATGAGGAAGCTAATTTACTAGCTAATCTTCATGTTACCGACGTTATTGTTTATGTTTATGTTTATCACACACAATGAAAAATGTGCTTATTAAACACCTGGTGGTGATTATAATACTTCCACACAATAAATAACAAATACCAATACAAATCAACGCTATTGATCACCTTTAATGTGAGTTTTACAAACATTTAACCAGTGAATATATATATATATATATTTATATATATATATATATATATAAACAACAATAAGTAACACAGTGTTTAATATTGTAAAAACAAAGTTTATTATATCTATATTTATATTTCAGATACCCAATACTTCTCATAATATAACTTTTGACTGTATTAATGTTTTTATTGTTCTGATCAGAGCCTAAAGAACTTTTATCTTTTATATTTTATCAAGTTGTTTGATGTTTAATGAATCTTCATATAGGTAAAAATAAAGTCTTTAAATATGAATTATATATTATATATAAATATTACGACTTTAATGTTGAACTTTTTAGGACAATATAACTTAATTATTAATTATATATAATTATATTATCATATGAATATGTGTTTTAATTGTCCTGTAATGTGACCTCAGAACAACGCAGGACGTCATGTGTGTGTGTGTGTGTGTGTGTGTGTGTGTGCGTGTGTGTGTGTGTGTGTGTGTGTGTGTGCGTGTGTGTGTGTGTGTGTGTGTGTGTGTGTGATTGACTTCCCAGGGTGCAACAGGAGCAGCTGGCGGCCATCTTCCTGCTGCTGAGGGAGAACCAGGAGGCGCTGGGGGAGGTGACGGAGGGAGACATGGAGGAGCAGCTGAAGCTCTACTCCCTCTGAGACGCCGTTACCGCGGCAACGCCGACTCACAACACACCGAATGTAAAAACATATTTTTATAGATCAAATGTTTTATTTTCTGTCTGTAGACGTTGATCAATAACTGATCGGTGATTATTGGTAATGCTTCAGATCACAGTGGTATTATTTATTTAGTGCAGGTGAGGGATCAATAAATTATACAGTAATAGTAACTTTCTCATAATGACGGGGTTAATTATTATTATTATTATTATTATTGTGTAATAAAGGAGGAAGAATGTGAAAAGTTCTTGTGTTTTATTTAGTTTAAGACTAATAAACTTAGTTTACTTTAATGTTATTTGTTTTTTATGATCCGATCAATAATTAATATGTATTTTTCTCTGGAAACAAACATTATTGTTGTTTATTGGACAGTCAATGAATGTCAATATATTTATTATTACGGTTTGTTTTATTTTACACTTATTAAAGTTTTATTGTCTGAACCCTGTTTATTATTTAATTATTTAATTATGTTATTATTTAATTATTTAATTATGTTATTATTTAATTATTTCATTATTTAATTATGTTATCATTTAATTATTGAATTATTGAATTATTTTATTATTTAATTATGTTATTATGTTATTATTTTATTATTTAATTGTTTAATTATTTTATTATTTAATTATGTTATTATTTTATTAATTATTTAATTGTTTAATTATTTAATTATGTTATTATTTAATTATTTAATTATTTTATTATTTTATTATTTTATTGTTTATGTTATTATTTAATTATTTAATTATTTTATTGTTTAAGTATCTGACCTGAAACTTGATGAAACCTTTTTAATAAAATAACACATCATACCTCAAATTAGCAGTTAGCAAACATTATGCTAATAACATTTGACTAAATGAGTAAATAGCAACACTTAGCTTAGCATAGTCAGATATTTCCCGCTCTTAATGAAGTGTATGAACGTTACAAACTCTGAAACAGACAGAAATAAAACTACACTGTAAATCCTTTCACTGCTGCGAGCTTGTACTGCTGAGTTACTTCCTGTTTACGTTGTTGACGGCGCTACAGCTGTTACCTAGCAACCGCTGTACACATTATAAAGTGTTTACTAACTGAGACAGTTTGAGTTTTAATGGTACAACCTGATGTACGCTGAGAGGAGAGGATGCTGAGCTGCTGCCATCCCAGGTCTATAATACTGGACTGGTTGCCTAGCAACAGGACTCCAGGAAGTCTCGGCTCCTTTTAAGGGCGTTTCCCCAAAATGTTACCTGTGAGTGTTTGTCCATCCACGCTGTCGAAATGTCTTCGTCCTCTAAATAAAACCAACTTATTTGAACTTTAATCTTCAATGACACTCACTGTAGTTCTTCTGTTCAAGAGGAGAATGAACGTAACCGTGAGTGTTGCATTTTGGGTAATGTAGTGTTTCTGTCTTTATTTGGCTCATATTCTTTAATAGTTGATGTTTATTGACTGTTAATGTGGTTTTTAGTTCACTGTGAGAAAACTTTAGGAAACTGTTCTCACTATTGTTTTTAGGTTTTAAGTCAAACCGAAATTTTTAAGTTCTGAAATAAACTAAAATAAGTTTTTCCAGCCTATTGATGATTATTGATTTGTTTTCTTCAATAGAAAAACTTAAATCTTTGAGTTTTAGAAACAAATCTACATTTCAACAGTTGTTTTACACTTTATTATTTTAGCTTTAAGTCAAACTGTTAAACTATTAAACTAAAAAAAATAATAATTAACTTTTCGTCTTTAGGTTTTAGAAACAAACATTTTATTTCAAAAATTGTTCAGAAAACTCATTAAAGTAAAAATCGTTTAATAATTTAATATTTTCAATTGCAACCATTAATTTTGTGTTTGAAACATTTTTTGTTTCTAAAACTCAAAGATTGAAGTTTTTCTACAGAATAAAAGTAAATTACATCAACAACAGATTTATTAGGTTGGAAAAACTTATTTTAGTTCATTTAAAAAGCTAAAAGTTTGAGTTTGATTTAAAACTTAAAATAGTGAAAACAGTTTCCTTTAAATTCTGAGTTTTATCAACTGTTTAGTTTTTTAGAGAAATGAGAAAATTTATTTTAACTTTTTGAAACTTTTAAGTGACACGAACTCAATTTTAAACTCTAAGTTACAGAAACTGATTCAGTAGTTTATATATATATACACCTATATATATAGGTATATATATATATATACTTATATATATATATATATATAAGTATATATATATATAGGTATATATATATATAAGTATATATATATACCTATATATATATATATACCTATATATATATACCTATATATATAGGTATATATATATATAAGTGTATATACCTATATATATATATACCTATATATATATACCTATATATATAGGTATATATATATATAAGTATATATATATATAAGTATATATGTATATATATACCTATATATATATATAGGTATATATATATACCTATATATATATATATATATAGATATATATATATAGGTATATATAAATACCTATATATATAGGTATTTTGTTTCCGCAGTACAAATAAAAATTAAACTTAAAATTACTAAAACTACCTGATCAAGAATGTTTTTTTTTATTTACAAAATTGAGTTTTACTTAAAATGTTCGATCAGTTTCTGAGTTAAATGAATTGATGTTATTTTTAATTTTATTTTAAATTGTTTGTACATTTTTTCCCCCACCACAATAAATAAATAATAAAAATAGATGAAAACACCTGGTTACATTTTACTGTCATTTAATGTCATTATTACCTGCTGTGCCCTCAGAGTTAGCCCCGCCCTCAGAGTGACGTCACCACAGGTGTGTTTGTTTACAGTGAACTCTGATTCAAACACCAGACAAACTGGTCCTGCTGCCTGGAACCTGAACCTTGTTTCCTGCTCACACCAGGTGAGGCTGTTTTTCTACCTCTCCGTCTCACCTGAAACACCTCCTCCTCCTCTTCCTCCTCTTCCTCTCTCTCCTCCTCCTCCTCCTCCTCCCTGGTGTAATAAGGACTTTAACCGCAGCGTCTCACCTGACATTGAAAACAATGCGTGCAGAGGAAGAAGAGGAAGTGTCTGAACAATGAGAGCGTCCTCCATGAAACGAGTTTTCCTGATTGGAACTTTTTCTTTCCTCATTTGTACAATTTTATATGTGAAATACAACCAGAGCCCCGACAGGTAGGTGCTCACCTGCTCCTGTTACTGGGATCAATACTATTGATTACTGCAGTTAGAGTAATAATAGAAACTGTAAAGTATTAAACTGTTGTTCTGTTAGATCTTATTAGATTGTTCTGACTCCTGCTGTAATGGAAAACAAAGATTTTACTGTTGGTTGAGCTCATTTGGATTATTTTCTTCATTCATTGTTTGCTCCACCTTCACAGGGTTTGATTCTATGTACAGATAAATAAAAACAACAACAATGTGTGCACATGAGGTGGATGTTACAGTGTGAACACTGTGCACAGATGTGTCTATAGTGATGTTTATCAGAATAAAGCACAGTGGATGTGAGTCACAGGGTCGGTGTGTCGGAGACTGCTGGTTGAAGCCAGCTGCTGTTTAATCATTCATTCTGCGTTACAGATTTACTTTGGTTAGATATTGATCGTCAGCTGGACGTTGAGGGGGAACAATTCTCTTTGTGTTCAAGTCAGAGGATCCAGAAAAACACCCTGAAAACAAAACAGACGTTAAAAAAGAGCTCCAGATAAAACATTTAGTTTATAATGAACAGTAAAGTGATGAAGTTAAAGTTCATATTAAAGTTTATTTCAGCTTTGTGACGATTCATTTGTGTGTGTGTGTGTGTCTGTGTGTGTGTGTGTGTGTGTGTGTGCGTGTGTGATGGCAGTGAGCAGACAGCAGGTGGCGACATCGAGTCTCCAGAGGACGACTGGACGATAATTACAGCAGCTGAAGAAGAAACTGTGAGAACAATAATAATAATAATAATAATAATAATAATAATAATAATAATAATAATAATAATAAAATATAAGATAATAATAAAAATAATAAAATATAAGATAATAATACTAATATAAGATAATAATAATAATAATAAAATATAAGAATAATACTAATATAAGATAATAATAATAATAATCTAAGATATTATTTTTTATGTAAAACAGGTTTAAGTTTCCACATTAGATGATTCAAATTCTGTTTTCTTGTATTTCTTAATTTCTATATTTATTATTTTTCTTTCTCGAGATGTAAAATAAAAGACGTCAGCAGCAGTTCATAATTCACCTGATCTTCTTTATTTATATATATTTCATTGTTCTACATTAATTTAACCAAATCTTTCTTCAGGTGACTCATTTTAATATATTTAAATATTTTATTCTTTATAAACACTCAACAGACCCAAAGACTGAATATTTAACCATTATTAAAGTAAGATTACTATTAATGTCTGTGATTGTTTTTAATTGACTGAAGTGCAGATTTTGAAAGTATTTAAAAGTCATTTTATGAAATATTTCCAGAACTTCTTACTACTGTTTTTTTTTACAGTGGCCTTGAAGTGCAACTGTATTAAAACAGATGTTTTCTGTATTTCAACAGATGTTTTTTGTATTTAAACAGATGTTTTCTGTATTTCAACAGATGTTTTTTGTATTTAAACAGATGTTTTCTGTATTAAACAGATGTTTGCTGTATTATTACAGATGTTTTCTGTGTTTGTGTTCAGGTGGAAGCTTCGTGTTCTCTGAGGAAAGCAGTAAGGAACGATGTTCTCCTCAGAGAGAGCTTCAGGTTCTCGGTGCCGGTCCTTCAGTGGGCGGGAAGTTTGTCCAAACCATCCTGGGAACAGCTGAAGAACCGGGCGCCTCCGTACGGCTGGAAGGGACTTCCTGTTGACGGTAAACAACCTTTAATTCTCACTTTAACATTCACTGAAATATTTCCCTTTAATGCTTCGTTCTACTGTCCTGTAACTCCAGATGTGTTGATGAATGTTTGTGATAAACTGAAGGATGAAATGTTTCTTTATGTTTAAAAACTCTCTTGGATTATCTGGAAATGTGTCATCACACAGGAGCACCAACATCTCAGACCACAACAGTCCACCAGACTCCATTCATAAAACCAGTGATTTTACATAAAACACACAGAAATCCAGATAAATCATCTATACGCTAATCACTGTGATTGATCAGCGTATGAAGATCCAGGTCTCTGATGATGTTTGTCTTCTGGTCTTCCAGTTGTGGACTCGGCTCTCTCCCTCCTCAACAGCTCTCGTCTGTTCGAGCGAGGTTCACCTGCCAGGTGCGTTCGCTGCGCTGTGGTTGGAAACGGAGGAATCCTCCGAGGGTCCCGACAGGGAAGGAACATCGACCGCCACGACTTCGTCTTCAGGTGAGACTGAAGACACCTGAACGCAGCTTATTATACACTGTAAATATATTATTAATAAACTGTGATGTTCCAAAAAAATACAGTAAAATAACAGAAAATAACTTGTAAAAATACAATAATTCTAAAAAATTAAAATACAATTTTAATGTTTAATTAAAGATATTTACAGTGTAAAACAATGATCTATAAATCCAGGTG